TGCCTCCACACCAGATCATACAAACACTGTCTGACACACAACAACATCAGCTGACAGAAACTGAACCTCAGTTTCAATTCTCAGAAACAACACATGTGAATGTGGATGGATGTCACATCTACTCAATCTGTTTTACAGTAAAACTCACATTGCTGATATCTTAGTATCTGTAGAGACGTTTTTGGTACTGACCAGAGTGATTCATTTTATTTGTATATATAATTTAACACAAATTTGCCTAAAATGTTTTTTTACAATCCCATCTATCCTTAGACTTTAGTATATTTTTATCACTTTCTTATTTAAATCACAATTTTACAAGGTATTTTCTATAGGGAAGGTTCTTTACAGCTGCTTGTTTTTACACAACATATAAGTTTTGAGAATTCATTTTGTATCAGCACTAATATAGAAAAATGTCAAGTGTAGCGTACTAATATTGTAGCCGATCCAGCTATGATAATTAAGGAATCAAAGTAGTTGGACAAATTAACATATCCTTAAATAAAATCAAGGTATTTACCATTTAATTGCAAACCCTTTACAATCAATGACTTAAGTCTAACAGGTCTGAAGTCTCTGACCCAAAAGCTCCTAATGAGGACGTCAGACCTGTACTGCACCCATTTTCACTTCTTAGTCTGATCTTCAGGAAGTGAAACAAATGATCAGTTGGTTTAAACATGTTAGGCCATAAAACCTCTGTGACCATAAAATAACTTCCTAGTTGTTTAAAATCACTGCCCTGCTGCATTCTCCTAAAACTGGTGGATGATGTATAAAAAAAGAGTTACTAGTCCTATATTATTGATTCAATATGATTGTGAACATCCAAAAAAAAGGAAGTATGAAAGTCATCCCTTGAACCTCATGGTCGTTGTTTCATTTCAAATCTAATTGGCTGGATTAGAGAGGAATAACAACAGAAAATGTCAAACACTCATTTTGCTCTTAAACAGCCGAGCCTTTGATCAGCATGCAGCAGCTGCACGCTGCCGCTGAAGGACACTGACGTGTCTAAGAAAGTGACGTCAAGAGCATCGGAATATAGAATGTCTACACATTTGAAATCAAATCCCAAATTTCTTGTGCGTAGGATGAGCCCCTTGAGATGCATCATCTCATTTTCAAGAGGCTCCTGACAGGATATCACATTCATATTTATTACATCTACAAAATAATCTATACAGAGACAGTGCATGAAAAGAAAAATGGTGAAAACACACACACACACACACAAAGTGATAACAGTAACAATAACAGTCAGGTTTTATCTTTTTAGAGGAAAACTGAGCAAATTCCTGACAGTCTTCATTCATTTTTCATTCGTTTTCTCTCCACTGGGTTACACTGTGTGGATGAAGGCATTGATCATAACCACATAAATAACACTCCCCCAAGCTTATTGTGATGGTTTGACTGGTATTCTCATAAAATGACAAACTCCCCCTCAATCACCCTTTAATCCTATTCTCTCTGTTTCTCTCTGCTTTTCTATAAACAGCTGAAATGACTTTTTGGCTAAAGAAAACATATTTACAGTGCAGAAATAAAAACTGCCATACTAGTTATATGCAGCTGAGACTCACAGTCTTACAGTTAGCAAGTGCCTATAGAGAGCCATAATTTCAACAACCTTTTATGACCTTGCTGTGGTTTCCCTTTTAAGGGAGACATCCTTCATACCGAGCATATGTTTGGAATAACTTGCTCTGTTTCCTTTCTGCAGGACACAGCTCTACTTTTCCCCTGAGCCCAGACAATAAAGTCACACAACAAGCACAAGGAAAAATCAGCCTTCAAAAACCTCCTCTCTTCTTGGGTAGCATGTTTTTTAATTTTTTTTTTTTTTTTTACAAAATTAAACTTGCTTTGTTGTATTTCATCTTTTGCTGTTGCTCCCTCTTAAGGATTGGAGCAGCCATGCTTTCATACGACTTGAAAGGATAATCCAAGGTTTTCCACAACTAATACCTCAAAAACACCAGCCTGCCACAAATACCCTCCACTACTGTGCAGCAGTGAAAGATGGTAAAATGAGATGTGATATATTTGGTCTCCGAAAACCAAGCCAGCAAATAATAAACCAATTAGGGAGGAGGGGAAAATGGCCTGAAATGGGAACAAAAACTGAGTGGTACCTTCACCACAAGCATCTGGACTCTAATTCAGGTTCCCTGCTGTGTTCAAGGGATCATTCATAAAGGTATGTCATTACGGACAGATATGGAAACTTTGACATTACTGATACTACTCCAAACTCTGCTCAATTCATGACTGAAAACCAAAACAAGCATATTACACATTTGATTAGTTAATCCACTGATTTAAAAAAAACAATAGAACGCTCCCCTCTCTGTTTGTGGGGGTTATGGGGGGTTTATGTCTGTTTGTTAAATAGACACGCTTGCTTATTCGCTCTCTTGCAGAGAGTTAGATATAAATATTGATGCCACTGTCATATCTATCTGTTAAATGCGAACGCTACGGCCAGCAGCCGGTTAGCGTAGCTTAGCGTAGAGACTGGAAATGTCCTGACTACTTCATGGTGCGGCACAGAGAGCTTCTTGAGTCTCTGCTTTTTCCCTGCCACGACAACTCAATCGAACCCCAATGTGTCATTTTTACACTTTAGATTTGTTCAGATTAAAAAAACTAACTATAACATGTTCATTTGTGAGCTTTCGAGATACTAGTTGGCATATTTTGTTGCCTTTGGACAGAGCCAGGCTAGCAGTTTCCCTTAACTTCACATTTACTAAATATGAGTGGTATCAACTGTCTCATCTATCTCCCGGCAAGAAAGCAATTTAGCACACTGTCAAGCAATTCTTTTCATTTTTGAACTAATTAACATGAAACATAAACACCAAAATCAACAAACATCAAGATAATGTCTTTGCTTTTGCGCTATTGTAGAGTCTCGTCCTATGCCATTCAATTAAAAGAGATAAAGGACCTCTCTGTTTCTCTGTCTCTTCACATTCGGTAAAGAAATTTCATAGCTGAGTGTTGAATCTTCTGCTGCCGATAGGACGAGGATGATGAGGTGCATTTCCTCACAGACAACACATGCACATGTTATCTTTCTCCAAGCAGATAGCAGCCTCGACACCGGTCTCATAAAATGCATTTCGAGCAACGCACAGCTCAGCTCTGTGACAGCTGTGATAAGGATAAATATTTCATGTTTTCTTGGATTGTGTGCAATGAACATGCCTTCTTTCTTTCTTTTTTTTTGGCAAACAGAATAAGCACGAGAAGGGAGTGAAGGTGAATCCAAATTAAGGGAGGCCAGAAAAGGAAAAAGATTGAGGCAGGGAGAGAGAGGGAGAAATGAGATAAAGAAGAGAATGATATTCATCAAATTTCCATGAACACAACATGTGACTTTATAACACAGCACATAAAATGTCCTCCAAGGTAATGGAGCAGAGCCTGTTCCAGACGGCGTCTAATCTGCCTCATTTTGGATGTTTTATATCATGCTGGACACCAGAAACCCTCAACACACCCTTAGCTATTGACTGACCTAATGTTAAATAAGAACATGTTATAACACTAACACATACTTGATTAGTATCTCTACCGTCAGTCTCTCTGGGGATAAGCACTTGGGGTGGATAATTGGTGGGACAAGTATTCCACTTATTCTCTGATGAACTCCCTCTGGGACTGTGAAAAGGCTCGTAGTGGAATATGTTCTCAACTGTGTCTATTTCTGGTCAGTCTGACATCTTGAATACACTTACAAGAATCTTCAGCTGTGAAGGGGGATGGTGAAATTAGTGTAAAACATTTAAGAATGATGAAAGTTAATTCATAATCCATTTTCTTGCCCATTCTGCCTGGTTTGTTCTGAAACCAGACTCTCTTCTGAAGTCAGATTTCACCCAGTTTAGTCATAACCACAACAGTGCACAGATATCACCCCCCCCCCCCCCCCCACACCACCAGCATTTAATTGCCAGAAAATTCCCCTGGGTCTTGTGATTCCTTCATTACAGATGTCCTACATTTTTCCAGCTTTAAAAAAACAAGAAACTAGTCCATGTTCACCACAGGAAGTTCACAACCTGTAACACCCCGTAAGCCTGGGCTTCCCACACCTCATACTGTTCTGCCACTTTTACTGGAGATAAAACAACTAGCTGATTAACTGATTAGTAAATTGTCAGAAAAAAAGTCTGCAACTCACTGAGTTAATTTTCCAAGTAAAATGCCAAATATCAACCAGTTTCAGCTTCTGCATGTTTTAGACAATAGTAAAATGAAGATTTTTAAGTTTGCGCTGACAAAACAAGATTTAATTTAAAGATAATAAGAATAATACTGTGAAGGGTTCTTAGAGCTGAAACAATTACCTAATGAATCATTAGTCAATTGACAGAAAAAAATGTCTGCAACTATTATGATGGCCGATTAATCATTTAGGTCATTTTTTAGAATAAAAATGCCAAATGTTCCCAGTTCCATCTGCTCAGCTTTTAGGTTCTTGTTTAAATTTTAAATTCTTCCCCTGCATTGTTTGGCTGTGTGTAGAATCTACATTTCTGCCAGACGCTGAGAAATCGTCCTCCTTTTGTTTCTAGACGCTGACTCCAGCTCCTTCTGGCCTCCTGTCCCCACATACTAATGAGGACCTGGACATGTCAGCTGGTCCTACAAGTGCTCTCCTGGTCAACATAGATGCAGTAGTAAAATAGTGCTTACTGCTGTGTTTGTTATAGTCTGCTTGACCAGTCACAGTCTGCACCAGAGCCAGCAGTACCTGTAACCTGCATTTAGAAAAACATCTCCTATGCAGCACCGAAATTTACTCCCAAAAACTTGGAAACAAAAGCAGAACCCGTGGCAATGACTACAAGTTAGATTTCTTTAAGATCCTGTGATGGAAAAGGGCTACAAGGTCTGGTTAAAAATGCTTATACAGAAGCTCTGAGACCGTTACTAGAAGAAAGACGACAGGATAAAATATCAAAATAAAATGGAATACTAACCTCTGGCGTCAAAGAACTCCTCATCGGAGCTATCAACTGATTCTTGTGCGATATTCTGCAGACACCAGTGAGAGGCGCTGTGCTTTCTTGACGAACCTGTGCATCAGAAAAAGTAAATAAGACAGAAAGTCTGCTTTTAGACTGGAAGAATGACAGGAAGGGTCATGCCTTTAATCACAGAACTCAAGGACCGTCAAATGAAGTGTATTTATATTTTTGTTCTTTTCTTTTTGCCTTTCGATTGATGGCTCTTAAAACTCTAAGTGAAAAGCAAAGCGTGAATGCCCCAGGTGGGGGATAGATGGCCTTTTGAGTGTCACAGCAGGTGAAAAGACCCAAATGGACTTGCCTTTGAGTAGTGTCATAGCACACAAATGTCTCAGCGAGGAAGCCAGGCAGTGTTTTTATGACCTTCTGATACAAGAGCAGGGATGAAAAGGGATTTAGAGCACTTTCCATTTGTTGACAATATTCACTCTCAAGAACCCAGATATAAAACCAGTGCAAACAACAGAGAAAGGCAAATGATTTCTTAAAAATCACTGAGGCAGAAAGTGGCTGCAGCAGTCGGGTGAAACTGACAAAGAAAACGCTGATTCTATTACTGTTGCTATTAATAAACTCAACCGGGTAATAATATAGTTAAAAACAAAACAAAACAAGATTAATTACAACATGCACGTTTCTTCAAGTGCCATTTTACTGAACTTTCTCAGGGTTTAAATTTTTTATCATTTAATGTGTTTCCCCAAGTTTCTGTGATGTTTTCTTCCTTTTTTTGGGCCAGTGACAAGCTTTAATAAGCCGCCTCCTCTCAGCAGTGCTGCACTCTGACGATTTAGCTGTAATGAACCTCATGTTCCTCCGCTGGCCCGGGGTCAAATCATGAAGCTTCATTTTTCCCATAGCCTGGGTCCATTGCATCCTTCCACACATCACAGCAAAGACATAATGTGGCTAACTCATCAAATGTTTCGCTACGAAATACGAGACCCAGGAATATGGTAAAATCACTGCATTACACCTACTCTCACATAAATCATGGGAATTAGGCAAAAGTTAAAAAATACCAGCCCAAATGGATACATTTTCTTGCTTGCAAGTGGATGCAAGATCGATCAAGTAGCCATGCATTGTGACATACACATCTGAATGCATGCTACAGAGTGTGTTTGCTTATTACATTGTATGCATGTAATTATTTACTCTGTGCTGGAGGAGCAGTTTCCCTCCTGGGATAATGAACAGTTTCCACCCATCACATTTCACACAGTGTACCGCCCAACTCCAGCTCAACTCCTGAGCTCCTCTCGCCCCCCCCCCCGCCCGTGAATTTCAAAATGGTCTCGCTAAGAAACGCGTCCCCAGAGGCTTTGCTTGAAATGTGTGTGTTGTCGTCTCTCCCCAGCAGTGTCACGACTGGGAATCATTTTCAAAGAGATAATGCAGTACAACAACAGAGATGGTTGATATCCCTGATTGCAGCTAGGTAACTTATAACACGACGGTTTGTTACTTCTGTTTGTGTATTTCTCACACACACCGACCATGTTAGTAATTTTGTCCCTTTCAAGGTGGAGGAAAACATTCTGTAAAAAGATATAATTTTACATTCCTGTCAGGAAACCATGAAGAATCTACAGAGACACACACACACACACACACACACACACACACACACACACACACACACACACACCCATAGAAGTTGTCTTGTGATACACATTCCTTTCACCATGCAGATCTGGACTTGGAAAGACACAGCAACAGTCTAGTCATCACTTCCTGTTTTAATATTAAGCCACACTATCCACTTGAGCCAACACATTAGTGGCTCAGTATAGCTTTGCTTTGCTGACAAGGAGAATCATGACATCCTGGTTAAATACATGCTTACAAAGTTAGGCATGAGACGAAGCTCTCTCTTCAACCTTTGACTTCGCAGCTACTACTCGCTGCCCCTCAGTGAACTGTTCTCCGGGGGCTCCAGGATCCCTGAACCACTACAGAGCTTTTAACCCTGTCATCTTGACCTCTACTCCAGAATGAGTGAGTAGGCTCAGGTGAAGATGAGCTCAATCCTTGTATTATTAGTTCAGTATTTATTGTGCATCAGCCAGCAGCAGCACTGCCGGCCAAAGCAGCATTTTTCCTGCACCTTACACAGCCATCCCTTATACACCATCCCCGAGCACAAATTTGTGTCGATGAAACCACCAGTGAACATACACAAATTATACAATTCTTTGCTCACAGAGAAATAAGCAATTACTGCACGAAACATCAAGATGATTACTACCCCCCCCATAATTAGACAAAATGAAAACAGGAGCTATAAATATGTATGAAATTCTCAGCAAACTCTTCACCAGAACACAGGTAAATACAACAGGTGGAACCACACGTCTGTTATGTTGTTGCTGTTGTGTTGCAAGTGCATCAGAAGCATTTAGAGAATGATATACCTGCTTGTGGTGCATTTACTGTATGTTTCATGCTTGTCAAACTGATTTCTTGGCAGTAGCATGGCCTTTAATACACACACACACACACAGAATGAAATACAGGATGACACTGAGGAGAATCTCCATCACAATCTTATCTTAAGTAGTCTCTCCTTCACTGAATGTGACAGTATTTGACTATCCACCTTCACATAAGAGTAGGGAATGTCAGGTTATGATGTCTGTAATGCACACCTGAATCAATATGATTGGATGTTCCTGGCGACACAGAGCTGTGAATGTGCCAATCATTGTAAAGCATACCGGAGCAAACGGCCGGAGTGAATCAGCCAGCATTAGCGTTACTTCACTGCTCTGCCTGAACCAACACTGTGTTTCATTATTTTAGTTTCCTTTAGTTGTTTGGGTTTTCTTTAGGTTCTGTTCCAAAACTGGATTGTGAATTTTCCGATTTCACCTTTCGCTCTGCATGCAGTTAAATGATGCAACAATAGGCGGCAGATTTACCACTCAAAACGTAATGAAATCTTTTTGATATAATTATCAAAAGATTAGGTCTTTGACTTCATACAGCGCTTCACAAAGCAGGCCTCTTAGTTCTAGCCAGCGATTTTTCTGGCTCCTGCTGACTTTTTAAAGTTTCACGTTGAACTTTGTGAAGGGGGTCTTAACTTGATGGTTATATACCTGATGAAAGTGCAGGTTACATCATGCTAAAAGACTGAAGCTAAACTATGTGTCCTCAGAAAAAGTCAGCATTGATGTAGAATACATGGAAATGAAGACACAGCATTGTTTGATAGCAGCACAGAGCTAGTTAGTTTCAGAAATATAAGGTCAAATCTAAGGCTGTCATTTCATTCTAACCCCATTTAGCTGCTTAGATCAGTGGTTCTCAAACTTTTTCAAATCAAGGACCCCTAAACTGACACAAATTAGACCACGGACCCCCATTTGATGAGATTTTCTCCCAGGGTTCCCCATCTGATATTTCATAGCTCATGAATTTCCCCTAGGGGATAAATAAATGATCTATATATCTTATCATCTATCTGATAAGATTTTGCTTTTAGAAGTTTTATGACAGAATGTGTTTGAAACCATGACCAAAATAGTCATACATTCTGTCAATATATCACTTACAGATGGAATTACAGTGAAAATAAAGGATTCCCCTCTTGCTGGGAACCCCCGAGAATCCCCTCAATGACCCCTGGTGGTCCCCGAGCCACTTGCTGAGATTACATTCGTATTCATACATATTTTCAGATTGTTTCACTTTTATTGTTAAAAGACAATAACACTTTCAGATTGTGTTTGGCGAACTTAACATAAGCTGTAAACACAAAATAATGTAGTATAAAATGCCACTGGCCTTGGAAGTTAGACTAGGTTGTTACTGTTGTTGGCAGTAATCAAAGTAGCCTGACATATTAATATTTACAACAACTATCAGAACTGAAAACAGCAGAACACTTTTTTTAAGGCTATGTGGTTGCATTTTTCTGTATCTAATATTTGCCCCGTCACTCTCCTCTGTGCTTTCTACTGGACTGTGTGAGTATTTGAGAGAGCCATGCTGAGGAGGCATATGGACGGGAAGAGGCGTTCCTGTCTGCCACAGTGCTGAGAGCTCCTGTGGACACAGAGAGCACACTCTGAGTGTGAAGAGGAGCTGATAGGGAGAAATGCATGAGCAAAAGAAAGGATCTACATTTGAAAAATAAAAACACTCTCAATCCAGCTATCCCAAGCCAGATGCCGCCCTGAACAACTCCCAAACAGCTCCCTACATTATGAGATTTGATTTGTTTACTTCCCTGTCACATTCCACCTCATGCAACCCTCCAACTGATCTTAAAATACCCATGTACTGTATATTCTGTGGATAATACTGCATTCAGTTTACTCCTAAGGCTATACAAGCACTTTGAATGTCTCATAAGGTTCAGGAAATCTAACCAATTGCTCGTGTGGCTGAAGGCTCACGCCAGTGCACCTACCACCAAGCGATGCATTCCCCACTGGGTAATGGAAATGATTGCTGTAGCTCCCTGCATGGCATTTACAGCACACTATATCCGTACAGATACTGAGTGAACGCTTGAAAAAACTGCAGATTATGATCGCAGAACCAGCAGGACTGCAAATCTGAGCAGACCATCCTGCTTGTTTGTGGAATCCAGGACAAGTGTGTTGACATTATATTGGCAGGTCATTTTTTTAGGAGACCAAGTACTCTCCTTTTCACATCTACCAATCACTGCGAGTTGGCATTTTGATTCAGGCTCCTGTTCAGGAGACCAGTGCTCCTTCATGTAGATATCTCAGTCTTCATGACAACAAGACTTATGGTTTTATCCTAGATTTCACTAAACAGTTTATAGGAAGTCAACATTAGCGTAATTGAATTGTTGTCCGACGCTTATTAGGTATGACTGATTATCAATGTTCATGGTTTTTAATAATTAACAATATCACTTACAAACTGAAAGCTTTGTGTGAATGGCTGAACAAGAGAAGTGAAGAAAGTACACTCAGTCGATAAGTATTTCAAATAATCACACTAACACTATAGTCATGTCAAAATATTACGTGTATTTTAAAGTAGGATTTCTACAGTACTATTAT